CTCATGCTAAAACCAAAACAAGTAAGGGTCACTGTGGTTTGATGTTATATTTGAACCTGGCTGCAAAATTCCAGGCAACTTTTAGCCAGCCTTAGCAAAATCTATCTCAGAAGGTTGTTGAGCTGGATATTGCCTTGAATTCCTGGGATGTAAAAGGCAGGTTTGCACATATCACAAAGAAATCCACATTTTGTTCAAGGGAAATATTTGTCAAAGCAGATACTGTTCTGTGAAAGTCCAAGTGACGAGCATTGCTGCATCCTTCTTTGTTTAGTTCGGGTGACCCTTTCCAAGTGGGCATTTGAACAAATATATGCCACTCTGCTTAGTGACCTGTTGTTTCCAATTACCCTTCAATGACACTGACAGGGTTGAATGGCACAGCTGGAAGCTTGTGACTGGAGGTATCCATGGCAACCCTTGGGATGAAACATCACCTCTCTCAAGGCCGCTTTGGTTGCTTACTGAGAAAAAGAAACCAATATTTCATCACAAGCTGATTTGTTTTTAAAATAGCTAACTGTAGAACTTCACACTGCTACCGGACAAAGATTTTAGATGTTGTGGTGAAGAAATGCTCTCGTCAAATGTATTGTCCCAGTCCCATGCTCACTAAGTCCTAGGTGAAATGCTCTTTAATTTCTTCTGCATTATTGTGGGTAAATTCCAGAGTAATTTGCACCCAGCACACTCCTAGTCAGTCCCTGTGTCTCAATTACCATGTTCCCTTGAAAATAAGACCCGGTCTTATATTTTTTGTAGGCTTCAAAATAAGCATTAGGGCTTATTTTCAGGGAAACTTGATTTCAAAGTGATCAGCCCGACTGGGACCCCCAGTCCCCATGGCACACTTACAAGAGGTGGCAAGCATGCAGGGGACCGATGGTATCTGGCAACAGCTGCAGCCCGCCAGTCCCTTGGTCAGTGCACTCTGAGGCTGTGCAGCCCATGCAGCGCAGGTAAGTTGATTCCCGTCCAATCAGCAGACGGAGGCAGATGTGTGACGGGGAGGGGGAGGCAGGTGATCCATGGGAAACCTGAGAGTCAGTGGGCCGGAGCAGGCGGCACCAGAAACAGATGGAGGCAGAGGTGCGGGACAGGGTGGAAGGCAGGCCTGCTGCTTGGACAGGTAATCAACTCACTTGTGCTGTGTGACTGCGGCTGCTGCTAGACACTGTTGACTTGCATGTGCCCACTGCCTCCTGTGCTGGCCATGCCCACCCCCTTCACTAGGGCTTATTTTTGGAGTAAGGCTTATATTAGACACTTAAAAATCAGACTAGGGCTTATTTTCAGGGTAGGTCCTATTTTTGGGAAAACACGATAGACCAGCAACATATACTATTCAGTACAGCTTACAGGACAGCACCAATCAGTTCAGCTTTTTTTTTTTTTTATGTATAAGGAATCAATCAATCAAAAGCATAGAACTTTCAAGAGCCACTTGGAAACAGTGAATTAGTATGGGTGTTCTCAAAGCTTTTGGATGATCTAGCTTTAACCCTTTAACAGCAAAATAAAGATGAAAATAGGATATCAGGTGATCCCTTCTCTATTCTGCATCATTAAACAGTCTGATTGATGAGGATAATATATCCAACAAGTCCTCTTGACTACAAATAGCAAATGAGAGAAAGTGACTGAAATTGCTGAAAACATTGAGTGTGCATATTTCCTTAAAAATTAGTTATAAAATCTGGTAATTTAAAACATATTCCCTCATATGGAAAACTAAAATAGTGTAGCATTTCAATAATTTTGCATGCACATTCTATTTAAAACTGACAAACTGATCCAGTATTCTGCATTTGAGACTAAAAAAGATGCTAAATTGTAAAAAGGTGTCAAAGCTATTTCTGGCACGCCTTTAATTTTCATAATGTGTGAAAAATGGAAGCAAAAGTATGGACAAACAAAACATTTAAAGGTTTAAGATCTGAAAAGTGCAATACAAGTATTAAAACTGTTAGATGAAGTATATTTACATACATACCTATTTGATTTCAAATTTCAAATTTATATGTATGCATAAAGATTGCGGCCCAAAATAATTTTAGTATTAGAAATTAATACTTGAGTAATTGTTGAACAACATTTCATTTCATTTCATTTATTAGATTTCTATACCGCCCTACTCCCAAAGGACTCAGGGCGGTGCACAGCCAAACAATAAAAACACATACAATACAAAATTTAAAAAATAGAATAAAATCAAATTAAATAATTTTGGCCCCGACAAATTTAAAACCCCAAACTTTTAAAACCAATTTAAAATTGAATATATAAATACTAAAAGATGTTTAAAATTTTAAAAATCTTTTATAAAAGAGGGGGAAAATTAGGCCAGGCCGGCCTGGTGAAATAGTAAGGTCTTTAAGGCGCGGCGGAAGGTGCGCAGATCCGGGATCCTCCGTATCTCTGGGGGGAGCTCGTTCCAGAACATACATACAACTTACAGTAAAGCACTGAAAAAAAGCTGTTTTTCACTTGATTTGAAACCTCTGCCATTTCACCTATGATACTCATTTACATAAGCAAATTTTCACTTGATAATAGCAATAATCATATATTGAATAAGAACGAGCCGAATTTGTACTCATTTTAAAGTTTATTCCTTTACGTCTTTCTCTCTAATGATATTGCGGGGCAAACATCCTAACCCATTATTTCTTTTCTCTTATGGCTTTTTTTCTGCACTATTTAAGCTATAAATTCACTGAGAGCACAAATGAATTGTAAGGTATATTAAGAGGAGCATTCACCCAGACAAATGCATTCTAAACTGATCATTCGACTAGAGAAATCCAACTGGCAGCCTACTAGCTGAACAAGTCCCAGAGCAATTATCCAACCTCTTTACTGTGGCTGACCTAAAATGTTGTCGACTTATATTAAAATAGGGGTTGCACATTCTAATGCTACATCTCAACCTTGAGTTGTGCACGTCATGCATATTTGCAACTCTCTGTGTTTGTGTGTCTCTCTCTGTGTGTGTCTGTGTCTGTGTTTAATCCCAGAATGAATTGCACAAGACTGCAGGCCCCTCTATAGAGATGTTGCATGTAAAAGTTCTCTGTAGCAAGAAAAATAAAATATTGCTGCTGAAAAGGCCACTATCATTTTAAATAAATACAATAGGAAATCATTCAGGTTGCATAATATTCTTTCAAGACTTCATAACCAATCCTGTATGGGAAGGAATTTGAAATTAATTAATTAAAATTAATTTTGAAATATTAATTGATTAAAAGGAAATAAATGAAGTTAGTTATATTAATTAAGGAATTAATATGTCATTGTTACTAAAGATTCCTTTTTTTCCGCACTAGTATGACTTTAAAATACAAATAACACAATACCGACTTTGTCTTGATTTATAGGAAGAAACATAACTGAATTCTATTTTATCTTTGTCACAGTGTTTTGTAGCAAAACCAATATCCGACATACTGTATAACCTTTAGAGAAATAGTTTGCCATGGAAGTAGAGATGGCCAAAGATTTAGAGTTTAAGGCATAGCTTCAAAATTACACAAACACATTACAAAAAGGAATACAGGAAAAGACTGAAGTGATTAGGATAATAAATCAGTGGAGCTTAAACTGGTTCTCACTAAACTTTCACACTGATTTCAGTGCAATCAAAATATTATTAACTTAATGTGGATTCCACTGTGTTTATGTACCACATTTCTGTCATGAAGCTGAATCATAAATTATTTCTTTGTGGTCTTTAATCCACATAGCGCTTAGAAGCAGGATTCCTTAGCTTCAGCAGCTGAACTACATTGTTTGTCCTCAGGCTGTACCTTAAATGTGGTAAACATTCAGACTGGAATAATGTCATGATTTATTTATGAGCATTTAAAGGCCAAATTGGTTGCTGTTAAGAAGTTAAGGTTGTATAAAATGAAACCAAAAGTATGCAGAAGAGCAGTAGGGAAATGCTGAGGGAAATCTATTGGTGGGTTATCACTTTGAGGGATACAACTGATAACTTCTATTAGGAGAGATGCTTGACTGTCAGAAAGAAAATGCATTTGTCTTCTGCGGGATTTTATTTGAGTGACTTTATGGATACACCTTAGATTATCTTCTCCCGTTTATAAACTGAAGTAGTATTTGTGTTAAGTAATGTGATTTCATTTCACATATGCCTTGCAAATAAAACATTTATCTTGAGAGGCATACTGATTATTTAATTCATGTTTATGTAAATAGGTGTGTATGCAATATAGACTGTAGTGGCTACAGTTTCAACCCTGTTTGTGCATCTGATGGAAGCTCCTATAATAACCCATGTTTTGTTCGAGAGGCATCTTGCCTGAGGCAGGAACAGATTGACATCAGACACCTTGGACATTGCTCAGGTACCTTTAACTTCACTTTTCAATAGTGATTATTTCACTAGATGATTGACTATAAATAATGTTGCTTATATCTGAGATAAGGCTTTCTTTGTGGTTCTGCTTTCATAAAATAATAGAACATAGGCAAAATGTTGGCTTTCATTGAGAATTAAAATGTTTTGTTACGTTCTCCTTGAAGAACACGTACCCAAGTATATATCTAAATATTTTTTCTTGTTTGAGGTTTTCTTTTAAACCTTAAATGAAATACAAGAAGTTATGCTTGAAGGATTTGTGATCCAGGAAGCAAAATAAACTGTATAACTAATAAAAAATAGAGTGTGTTCTACGAAGGAAAGAAAAATACATACTTATGTTTCATGTAATTTTATTAAAGATTATAATTACAGTAGTAATTGGAAGCAGTACATTATATGTGAGGTTTGATGTATTTATTTATTTTAAAGAATTCTTCAATATAAAAATCAGCACGCTTGTTTTTCAATAATTTCATATATGGCAAGGCTATTCCTCCCTTTTCCCCTGCCCCCTGCCATACAATTTCTTGATGATTCATTGCTTACTCAAGGATCAAATGCTGTTGGGCACACTTCAATGCCAACATGAAGAGGCTCTATTTTTTTTTTTTTTTACAATCAAGTACATTTACTATTAAAATGGCTTTCATGTGTTGGTAATGAATGAAGGTTATCTGATGCATTCTGTCAGGGTTGACACATTCCTCATGGCTATCAGATGCAGCCAAAAGTTTAATCCTTTGTAAAAAACAGACAGAAAAAAGTGTTGTAGACAAAAACCTCAGATGTTACAGATAATCTTGAATGCTGTATTCATTAAGTTGGTTATATTCAAATGATTGAAAGACAAATGATTGATATCAGGATATACCTTGTTTCAGAAGATCCTACTCATATTTTAGGTTACATTTAATACATACATATATACATACATACACACGCACACACACTGTATATATAATTCAGGTGAAAATGAATAATTTGCTGATTGTATAGTATAGAAAAAAAAGAAATACCTTGGTATATTGGCAAGAAACATGTATCTGTAAATCTGATGATCTTTCAATTAATCCACACTATTTCTCATGTTTGTTCTTCATACTCTCTCATATATTAATATAAATTTTGATTTTATGGCAGTTGGGACAGTCAAAGTTTAAAGTTGGGAAGCATCTTTTTGATTGATTATAACCAAAGCAAATTTTTAAGTTTGCTGGTTTCTAGGGTATGGGCAAAATGCTCTGTTCACAAAACACCTAAATTCTGGTTCTTTATGACCAGATAGAACATAAGAGAAGCCACTGGGAAGATCATATGGGCCAATATGTTAACCACCATTTGTAGTGTTCTTGGCCCATTGTGTCTTTGATCTTCCCTTTCTCTCCCTCCTCATATGCCATGCTGGAGGCCCATAGTATTGTCAATAGCTAAAGGAAAGTGGGCAGAATGTTAGGCACATACATGTAGAATGCAAGCCAACTATTTTATAATATTCTTCCCATTATACAGGAATTTACTGAGACAGCCAGTCTTAACCTGAGAACAGATAGATAAAGCTCTATGGAACTAAAAGAGGGGAGGGAGTCTGGATCTTTGCACTTGTGTTATGATTTAAAGTTAATTCTGTGCTAAAGCCCCATCCCCCACCTGGGTAGCTGTTTCCCAATATCAAAGAAGCCACTGGGAAAATGTTGAAATGGGCAGTTGGATATGCTTCCCTTAAAGCCAAGGAAATTGGCAGTCCACAGTGGTGGCTAAGTTAATATAACGAATGAAAAGAGCTTGGAAGATCAAGCTGGTGAACTGACTGGTTAAATAACCACACTTCTAATGGCTGTTTGATGTTACGAATAGCATAAGTACAGAAAGGAAGGTGCTGGAAAAATCGGTAGGCAAAGAGGAATTCAGGCCTTGTGGAAGAACAGGGAGAAAATACTCAAATCCCATCATCCTTACTTAATAAGGTGTCTCCAAATTTTGTCTTGGTCTGGATCAAGCAAAATGCTCTAGGTTTTTCTTCTGCTGTACCAAGGCCAATCTGGGACAGTTGGAATAGCATTTCTGAGACATAATATTTTTTTTCCAGTTTTGTACACACCTCCATTTATTTTCTAGGAAAGACTTCTAGATTTTAATTTAGAATTTGTATGACTATGGCCAGGTTAATGGAAGACATGTCTCATTGCTAGAAAGTTATTTTATTAAAGGTTACTTTAATCAACTCATTATCCAAAACATAGTCAGGTCACTGCACTTCCTTAGGTTCATCTTCAAGTTCCTCTCTGATTTCAGGAATAACCTTTTCATAAAATTCTGTTCATATTATTGCTTCCCTGGAAGATACACAAACACACACTCCAACTTTCAGATTGCAGAATTTGTTTCTGAACTCCAAAATAGAAACTCCAGAGACTTCCTCTCATTATGGGGAGTCAAAGTTTGAAGACAACATGAAGGAGACAGCAACACTTTGATTCCTCTACTTGATAGAGCTCTTCCACATCTTCACTGAATGACAAGCATCTGAAGGCTTCAGATGTGTTAATAACTTCTTACGTTGTACTGTATATCAGAATTTGCTTCTGCCTTTGTACATCTTCAGTGATGGAAATGTTTTTATGAAACATCCATGCAGGCATGCATTTCCAAAGCAAAACAGGAAAATAGGTTGCTTCCAGTTCCAGTCAGAACTCCATGGCATTTCTTTCGTGAGCTTTTGTTTCCCTGCAAACGATGAAACAGAAGCTCACGAAAGAAAAAGTTCTTACCTCTTGCCCTGCTGCCAGTGTTGGGATGCCCCGCCTCCCACCAGCTGGTCTTCGGGTCTCTGCTGCGCATGTCAACCTATGTATGCGTGCTCACAGACCTGTTGGTTTGCGCATGCGCGCACGTGGTTTGGGCACTTGGTGTCTAAAAGGTTCGTCATCACTTACCTATAGTCTTATCCAACCAACTTCGTCAGACATTGTCATACACTTTAAAAAAACATTTTTGCAACCATAGGAGGTTGAATCTTAGTTGATTTGGGATGCCCTTCTGTGCTGATGGAGAACTGTGGAGCGTATATACTGTAGGTCTGATTGAACAGGCCTTATGTTACATCTGCAATTGACAAACAATATCAGGATATTAGGACATTTAAAAAACCATAAATAATAAAAGAGTTGGAGTTCACATATCCTCCAAGCAGCATTAGTCTGCTGGATGTTAAGATTAGCTTGAAATGGATGATTCTAAGATAAAATACAGTATGATTATACCTTTTTTTGGGAGGGGGTGCCTTCAAGTCAAAGTTGATTCCTAGAAAGTCCCTGCAGTTTTCTTGGCAAGCTTTCCTAGGATTGAGAGAGAGAGTGACTGGTCCATAGTTACCCAGCTGGATTCGAGCCTAGGGTGGGACTAGAACTCACAGTCTCCTGGTTTCTAGCCTCATGCCTTAATCCAAACTGGCTGTCATGATTACATAATAAAGGGGTCATAACATGCCTAAATGTTGCTCTGTGTTTCACTGCTACACAGTGGTGGGAAGAATAGAAAAGTACCATATCTATGATGTTTTTTCTGGTTTTTGTAACATTTTCTGAAATTAAACCTTAATAGATTGGGACAGTAAAAGCAATCCTGGATAATATAATTGTTATAGCCATGCAAGAGGAATATAATGCATGCCATCTTTTATTAAACTGTTTCTTTTGGTAATTGTATGTTAATAGTTGGTACTTTTTTCTCTTTCTCCCAATAGACTCTGATGATTCCAACTTATTGGGGAAGAAGGATGATGGAATGCAGTATCGGCCAGATGTGAAAGGTGAGGTATTAATGCTTATGTTAGCTTTTATGTATAAATGCTAGCTATGGTATAGTAACTGAATCTTGCAAGTCTGCCTCCTCCTCCTCCTCCTGCTCTTCCTCCTCCTATTCCAGTGAATCAGGGAGGTGTTGGCCTGAGCCACTTCCTTTCCAGGACTTAAAGTATGCTTCAGACCTCTTTGACTGGGTAACAATTCTTACATATTTTTGTCAAGGTCACCTCCCATACTCTCTACCCCCATACCCTTCAGTTGTTCTGGGATTTCTTAACTCTCACAATTGCCAGCCAGCAGGACTGAGGGCAGCCAAAGACCAGGTTAAAAAACTATGCGGGATGCAGCTTTTGGGAAGACCAGGATAGATAGAAGGGCAGTGTTTTTTAATCTACCATTTTACGTACCATTAGGCATAGTTAATATGCATAATGAATTAAAAGATTACTAATTATATATTATATAAATCATACTGGAAAACATAGTACAATATGTAGTGCTACTTTACAGTGCAATGTAATGCTAGTGTAAAATACTTTATACTAAATTAGGGTTGGCAAACATCTTCTATAAAGGACCAGATCCCACCCTTTCACTGCCTGTACGGGTGTGGCTAGCAGGTCTGCAGGCTAAGAAATGTGGCAGCTACTGGATGTCCTCAGCCTGTTAGCAAGGAGGCTGCTGATTGGTCACTACTGTTGTCTAGGGTAACCTTTCCCTCAGCCCCACCTCTCACCATGGGAGCTCAGTTGAGGTTCAGACCTGGCAATCTGTTGCTCACCCTTTTGTGCTTTCTTAGCTTGTAGGCTGTACAAAAACAAAAAGCAGGCCTGATTTGGCCCATAGGTCATAGTTTGTTGACCCCTTACTAAATTATACTGCAATACATATTAGTTCATATAATTATATATTAATTTATTAAATGTCAGTTACTCTATTAATATGATTATATTCTGGGTGTCTCTATGCCAGACTTTCCTACTTTATTGGGTAGCTGCTGGGAAAAAATGAAGGAGGAAAGAGTACATATGTCACTTGGGCACCAAATGAAAGACAGGATATAAATCATCACAATAGCTAATTCTAATCAAAGATATGTCTGGCATTCTTCTTTAAATGCACATACATTCCTTGCTCCAGAAAATATTTAGTGTGCACTAAATTTAATAATTTAGTGCAATAGAAATTATGACAAAAAAGTGTTAAAATAAGTTGCTGTCCCCAATTCATTTCAAAGTAATCCATTTTTGCTCAAACACAATTTTACAAGCACCTCTGTTGGCCTTGGCAGTTCTTCACAGTCACATTCTTTGAATAATGAAGCCAATTTTATTTATTCAAGAAAATTTAGCATATCAATAGTTTCAAATAAACTGATCTTGTATTTCTTTTGCTTCCCCACCCCCCTTTAGAAATTGAAGAATAGCGCTATGAATTGTCTAAGCCCCACATGTATTTCTTATATTAATGCTACACATAATCCTGCTGTTAAGGACTGGAAAGGAAGCTTTCATACATTGTTCTGAGCAATGACTGACTCCGAACAAAATAGATTTCCTGTATTCTGCACTTGAGTTTTAAAGGTGACTTTTGAAGGAAATGGGCAAAAGAAGCTATTTCTACAGAAAAGCAATTTCTTCCTTTTGTCACTTTCTCTTCTCACACTTTTATTGTTTATTGGAAAAATTATTGTAGAAGAAAAGAGAAAAATATGGAAGCTATGAAATATTTCTGGGGCATAAAGTGGATTTTTAAGGGGATTCATAATAGCAGCTTAAAGGTAAAGGTTCCCCTCGCACATATGTGCTAGTCATTCCTGACTCTAGGGGGCAGTGCTCATCTCCGTTTCAAAGCCAAAGATGTCTCCATGGTCATGTGGCTGGCATGACTAAACGCCAAAGGCGCACGGAACGTTGTTACCTTCCCACCAAAGATGGTCCCTATTTTTCTACTTGCATTTTTTATGTGCTTTCAAACTGCTAGGTTGGCAGAAGCTGGGACAAGTAACGGGAGCTCACCCCATTACATGGCATTAGGGATTCAAACCGTTGAACTGCTGACCTTTCGATCGACAAGCTCAGTGTCTTAGTCACTGAGCCACCGCATCCCACTAATAGCAGCTCTTTTTTTCATTAATCAAATCATTATTAACTCTTTGAAGATGCATCAGGAATATTAGAATATATTTAGTTTTGGGTATATGCTTAGTTTTCGTAAATTTATCGAATTTCCATCAAATGGAAAATTAATCTGACAGATAGCTTATCTGTGCTAGGTTTTAAAATCAACTAAGGAGGCTCTCCTTAATGTATACAAAATAGAATTTTATCAATTTTGGCATTTTGTTTCTGGCTCTTTCTGGTTTGCCTGACAATTCAATCGGTTAGTTTGCTCCACTGAATTGCTTTTTTAAATGCTTATTTATATTTACATTTCATAATGTTGTGCGTATATTAATACGCTTAAGAAAATGGTTGTCTTTAAATCTTCTTTCCACTGGCCTACTGTTTAGCTGATGAAGTATTTTTAAATATCTTTTTTAAAAAATTGTATTCATATGAATAATTTCATAATGACAGCAATAGGTGATAACTTGGAGCTGTAAAGAGACTGCATGAAGACTGACAGTCTTGCATAAATTACTGTTTATACTATCAACATACTTTAGGGTGCGTTTGCACATTCAAGAGCTAGGGATCAAGTAAAAGAGATTCCGCACCGTCTGCTGCTTTCTGGATGACTTGAGTGCAGATATGCTACTATTAGTATAGCATATTTGGAAGGTGTCAGGTTGGAAAAGTTTGATATGGAGAAATCAAGAGCACTGGTGAATGTGTTTTTAATGATATAGTATGCTTCTTTATCTGTGAAATCAAGACACCTTGGAAATCAAAGATTGGCTTGTACACAGCAACATCTACAAGATGTGCATGTGATTTTAAAAAAGTTAATATGGCTACATGGCCACAATGCATGTAAAAAAAGGGGCAGAGCTTCAACCATGTTGTCTTGATTACCATCTTGATTTTTTTGACCCTGCTTACAGAAACCATGGCTTCTTCCTCTGCTTTGCCCTATTTAACATAGATCGTCCTATAGTGGAAAGAATAAAATAATTCATTTTTTTCTGAAATTTGCAAATCTTTACTTACAGGCTATCTTGCTTTTTTAATATTTGCAGTCTAAGCTTAAAGATTTACATCTTAGCAGTATCTTCATCATGTTGACCCAAAACAGGCTGCCCCTTCAGACACAGAAGCTTGAAGCTTTATTTCAGAGCCTTTTTAATTGATTGATTATGTGCCATGAAGTCAGTGTTGCCTCTTTGATCACATAAATACATTTTCTTCAGGAGGATCTTTTCCCAACCTGCTTCTTTAGGTGTTCCAAACAATTCACCTGTGGCCATCATATTTGAGTCTTTCAACCTTTCTGCTGGTCTTCTGCTTTAAAAGCAAGAGGGACGAGGCATCCTTATTTTCTTCTCTCTGCTAATTTAATTTATCAGAATTATGAAGACTCGTTCCTCATACCCCCTTAAGCTTTCATAATGCTATCTCTATGAAAGATTGGTCCAGTAGTGGGTTTCAAATCCTGTTGCTACCGGTTCGCTCGTGGGCGCTTGCGCACTTGTGCGTGCGACGCTTCTGCACATGCGCAGAGCAGTGGTGGGTTTCAAAAAATTTTCTACCGGTTCTGTGGGCGTGGCTTGGTGGACGTAGCATATCTTGGTGGGTGTGGCTTGGTGGGCATGGCATGGGCAGGATACGTAAAATCTTCATTCCCTCCCCAATCCAGGGAAAGGATACTGTAAAATCCCCATTTCCTCCTGATCAGCTGGGACTTGGGAGGCAGAGACTAGATGGGGGCGGGACCAGTCAGAATTTTTACTACCGGTTCTCTGAATTACTCAAAATTTCTGCTACCAGTTCTCCAGAACCGGTCAGAACCTGCTGAAACCCACCTCTGGTGCAGAGACATCTGGGCGGGTGGGCAGAGCCTCCCGCCGCCAACACTACCAATTTGCCCAATCCAGTGCTAACCGGTAGCAACCCACCACTGGATTGGTCCATATGAAGGGAAAAAAATCAAAACAAGCCAAATCTATATAAAGCCAATTAAAATAGGGCAAAATGGCACAAAAGAGTACAATATCATTGGAGCTTTCGAGAACTCTTTATCAAGCAAAATGTTAACAAAAGCAGGTTAAGGAGAAAAGAAAATCCAAAAAATCAGGCCAAGTGTTTCTGACATGAAGTCAGATGAAGTTTGAAGGCCGGATATAATTGACAGTGGTGCAATCCATGACTAAAGGATGACTGTTCTCACTCCAGTTTTGTAAATACGAAGATTGTCCTCTTGTCACATTGGTTTCATCTTATATAAATAAAAATGTAAATGTTCGTTTGTTCAAAATCTTAAATCTCTGAAAGTTCTTCACCGATTGCTTTGAAATTTTGACACAACGTTGCATTTGAATACGCACGTATTTTTATATACCTATATTATATAGATGTCACACCTGTGACAGG